AATCCGAAGGTCGTGGGTTCGAATCCCAGCGAGGTCGGAAATTAATTTTTCCGAATTTATTCCTAAGGGACTTCTCCCGGAATTGCCTCTTTCTAAGCACTATAACTTTCTTTCATTTCTATATCGTGTCCTCAGATACCTTAATTACAATCCCAAAAAAGTTCAAGTTCTTTAAGACCTTTGTGAAGTTAAAAATCAAATTGCCTTTGATTTAATCTGGAAACTTTTTGGAGAGTTTATACTTGCACAATTACGTTCCGTTCTCACCATCGATGGAACTGAGCTCTGGAAAACCCTGTGATTTCATTYTAGCCACCGATTGGCTTTTATGATTCAAGTTGATTCATTYTTGCACTTCCTTATGAGTCTTRAAYTAATACACCTTGATGATTCGAATCTCAGTTCACGAAGAGATTATGATTTTTTTATAAGCCGCCATTTTGCACGAGGTAACAGGATGCGCATGCGCTACATATAGGCAACTTAAGGACTCGGACTTGCTCACTATTCGACGTTTTCTATGGAAATATAGCTGGTTATGGAAATCTAAACATTTGTCCTGGCTTTAATAAAAAGGAATGMAACTAAATATAAAAGATAGGATTCGGTTTGATCKATATCCTTTAGTCCAGGCTTCTTAAGTTTTGGAATTTCAATATATTATCAGACCCAGTCCCAGCCCAATCCCCATCTCAAACCYCTCGTTAAAAAATGCTGCTCCCACCCTGCRTCCTTATTACTGAAAGACAAATGTCGTTTTCTATTGCMCTTTGACATTGTTTTTGCGGCAAGGTGTATTTGAGAATGAACATAGTCAGAGAAGACACCAACTTTTATTTTTTACGACTAGTTTTTATTATTTCGCTTACTCGGGCTTCCYCMGGAAAGYCATCTTTATTATATCGTTCCCAATACAATCAGCGCATATCACTATTCATTTTATTCTCAGTTCTCCATCCCATGCATTTCCTTCATCTTATCCATGTATTCCTCGTCTTGATATACTGCCCTGCGGTGTTCCTTGTTGTCTTCGTCAACCACTGGAAGCGGATGTCCATTTCGGTGAATTTTTCCCTGTCCAGATCTTCTTCTTCGCCAGGCATGACTTTCATGAAGTGTGGTCACGAGGACAAGTACGATTAAAATGACGATCAATTTGTAATTCATCTTGTGATTAGGGGAAGTAAACTTCGATGTGACTTTAGCCGTTACTGAATGATCTACAAGATTAGATATGCACAGGTCTTTAGTCATCAGTCGTGCTGCAACGTCGTATATTTCATGTGCGTATTCTAGGCGGTTCTTTTCGTGCACATCCAAAGTCAAAATTACTGTGATGCCCAGAATATATTTGAATATTAACCTAAATAAGTATAGTTTCAAAGAATCTGATTGAATTGTAATATTATTTATCAAGAAAAGAGTGAAAAATCATGACATTACCATAAAGGGATTGAAACGTCCAATTCGACCACGTGTACTATTGCTCTGCTGGGCCAATCACAGTTCCTTGGTTAAATCTTTAAGAGCGACTGTCCACAAAAATCGAGCAAAATCGAAAATATCCGGCCACAATGAAATTCCTTGAAACTTAGTTTCTGGACACCTTTCTGTGAGCCTACTAACGTGGTCTAATCGGTTTTTTGATCTACGTTGAGAAATTTGAGTTTTTGAGCAAAATTGGTTTTACCCTGATTTGGTCTAAAATTAGCATATGAGACCGCTAAAACTTGCAACTTTTTAAAAGTTATTTCTTCAATCGATTTAATTATTTTTGCGCAATTTTTTTACATAATCCGAAAGAATACATCCTAAGGAGTTGCCCGGAATCGGTTTTGGCTTTTCAATGTATTTTTAACGGGGAGGAAAAATGACTTTTGCTTGGCCGGTTTTCAAACCTTGATTTGAGTTGAAATTTCCGAACACATTTTTCTCCATGTGGCCATTCTCCAATTTTTACCAAACTCACCCTGAATGAGGTTGAAATATCAATATAAACCGAGGTAGAAAAATATTTCTGGGTTTTTACACTGGTAGTGCGATAGGAGCGATCAAATATCACGATTTTTTGACTTGCAATATGCAAATTAGCAGTTTGTTTACATTTACTCAGATAGATCATTCGAATGACTTTTTTTCTCAAACATCGAAGTCAACCAAAAATATCATTTGATCGAATTAAATGAAGTAATTAGACACTTTCAAACAATAAAAGCGATTGTATCTTGACCTTTAGGCACATATTTCTTTCTGACGGTTTCTGTGACGATCATTCCAATAGTTGGCCACTCAAAAATTCTCGAAATGAAACTATATTATTATTTTACATGATTGCTTTAGAAAAATACAGCTTTTTAGAGCAGTAAATATGCTAATAAGTAAAAGCGCAAACGTTATAAAGGAATTTAAGTCAGTTTTTATTATTATTATTAATTAAGGCGCGTTTTTAAGTGTTTGTCGAGGTTTACTACACAAAGACTAGCAATAAAAAGTTGTAATGTAATTTCAATACTGACAGTGTTGTTAATATTTTGAAAAAAGAATTTCTGCACGGCAAAACACCTTTTGTAAATTTACCGAAACAATTAGAAGCGCGTGCTTGAAGTCCCCCCAAAAAATTATTCCTTAGGGACAAAACCTTCCAATCTTCTCAAGATTCTAATGAAACACCCCTAAAAACAAAGGTATACCAGGTAATGTTTTAGTTTAGAATTTTCATAACTCGCATCAACATCACTCATGGAGTAGTGCTCTTTCCAAGCTCTTGTGGGTGGTCATTGTGGTTTCGATCCCAAATACAGATTTCAATGCTTGACCAGTGTTCTACTGAAAGCGTAATATTGCTGAGTATAAGCGGTACTTTAGTTTTGCTGGAATACAAAGTGCTCTAAGGGAACAGTAATATATTAGAAGGGAGGGATGGGAATGGGATTTTGACAAAAAAAATAGATTGGAAAATGGGATCAGACAGCCCTCCCCTCTACTGAGGGGCTTCACAAAATTATATAAAGATTTTTAAGGGTTCCTTTTTAGTTCATCCCACTCATCCCGTTCAGGTTCTTCTAGTGTTAAGTATGAAATCAGTCAACTATTGACCATATGAAAAACGAGCAGAAGACTGAGAATGAGCACATTAAATGTTTTTTTTTCAAAATCTGTTTTTACCATATTAGAAAAGAATACATCTAAACTAGTAAATTGGCAGAGGTTTAGTTTGAAATGTTAAATATCAGCAGAGTTACGAGCATTTGAAATATAAAAAGGCTTGCGTCAATGCTGATTTTCACTTTAAAGTCTTTGCAATTTCAAACACCTGTAATTTCTGGTCCTTGAATGTTAGAGCAATCAAACTTTGAGGTCTTTATTATTATAATATGTTCTTTCAACGGATAAAAAATTATCAACAAAGGCGTTACGATAGCCACTCCCTTTTTCATATGGTCTATGAATACATTGTAAATTGCGATATTTTGAAAATATAGTATTTTGTTTCATAAGAATGGGTGGGTCATGTGAATTTATGTTTGCAGTTTGAATGAGTCATGTAATTTTGTGCATTTGGAAGCTCAGGGCCAAACTGACAATCTGTCCAGGGAAATAAAAATGCACCAGTCCCTGATACCCCGTCTAATATACGACCTGTGCCGTAAGCTATCAGCTATGGAGATATGTCTCTACTGCGATGTCAAAAGATGATGAGGCAGTGTTGACGAAGTGTTAATGGGAGCGTTGGCAGAGTGCTATAACAGTGCTAGCTCTTGGCATGCAAGGCCACAAATTTTGTCCATACAAATATCTCCCTTTCGAGAATTTTTGAGTG